CATTTGCACATAGAGGGAGTGAAACCTTTGAGCATCCGACTAGACGAGGCACTTTTCACTTGAACTGCGAATTGAATTTGAGGATTAAGATATTTTAACCAGGGATATACTCATTTCGTATCAACACTTTTCACTGTAGAGTTACAGGTAGCGGTAAAATGCAACTCTCCCCTTTCGCTGAGCACTTACATTGAAGAACAATTTTTGTTTGCGCTATCACTAAAAGTCTATCCAGGTAGTTTCAAAAGGTCACACCTTGATCTTTATGATCAATATGTGAACTGAACCTGCGTTTTCATATTTTGACCCACTGCCACCCCCAGCGTGGCCCTATAGCATGACCATATCGGGGTATTGGTGAATAATTAGAATATTTCTGATAAGCATGTCAAAAACCCACTGAACTACTTTTCAAGCAATTTCGTGATTCCATCCCCTATGGTATACCTACCGTTCCCCATAACAAAGGCAACAAAATAGTCTCCCACTTCTCTGTAAAGATGTATGAACTGTGGCTGCTCGGCCAGTAGTATCATCCTTATCTTTAACGTACCCATATACATCCGTGTGATAGCGTAAGGGTTTTTTATTTTCTTCCCGAATCTTATTCTTCTATCTCATCTGACAAAGCCTTGTAAGTTCTTCCAGGTTCGAAATTAAACTGCTGAATCCCCAGCCCGACTTAACCTTTGCAAAATTCATTTAGAAGTTGCAAGCGACTAACAAAGGAATGCTCTACTTGAAGAGCCATTTAAAACAAGAGGTATGAAGGAAAACAACTTCAGTATAGATATTTCAAATGTGTTTTCCAAATCTGCGAAACCGGAAATCCCATGAAAGAAGATTCGAGCTTTGCTTCCTTGAGATCCCTTACGAAGCACGAAGACTTGTGCGACAAGCATACCAGAGTGGCGCAGCGGTGTCTTGGTTTGTGAGCTTCCGACGCAGGTTCGTGTCCTGTTGACGGTAAGCGTTTTGCTTTTTTGCAAACGTATAATTTTGAAGAAAACTTACAATATTTGAGCTGTTGATATTATCGAATGTCTCAACTAATGAGACCAATGATTACATGTTGAGTTCAAATTAATTACATGATGAACATACGTGATGGGCATATGTATAGTTGAAACATAAGGGCTGCTCACAGCTTTTTGCATCCCTTTATATGCAGTCTTTGCCCGTCATTTAAAACATCTTCTCTTATTTCGTTGTTATATAGCTAGTTATCAGATATGCATCCAGACCCTCTCCCAATTTCTGCTCACTTTTGCTTTCTTCATCCATGGGATATTGCAATATTAACAAATGCAACAGAAACAATTATTTTATTCGCTCAATGAGAGCAGATTCTCTGTTTCAGACATTTTATAATGCCTATGACATATGTCCATCATTTGATTAACTTGAGCTTGACAACCAATCACCTTTTTCGCTTTTAATCAAGCACTGGATAATAAATCAACGAATAACTTCTATTCATAAGCTTCTTCGGCAATTACGTAGGAAGAAGCGCAAAACATTTGCCAAAGATAAGTTACCTGCATCGCAAACTTGCAAACCGAGATACTATACTACTGCGCCACTCTGGTACCCACCTCCTGCATGATCTCTTCGTTTCCTAAGTGATCTCATAAAAATGAGTGTCCATATTATTTTCCAAGAACGGTTTAATAAAGAAGACAGATTTGAGATTTCTATTCCCAACTTGTTATTCTGGCCTAATTTTTTGCATGGCATTTCAAGTACAGTGCATTCACTTGTAAGCCAGTTAGTGCCTTTTGGAGAGAACCTACGAACAAACACTCCTTTAACAGAGCGCTGTGAAATGGAGCTTTGACGCGATTGATTTTAGAGGGAAAACACATACGCATACATAACACCGCTGGGAGCTGGCTACTTGCTTTTAGAATGAACTCACAACTCCTCCTAGACGGCCGCAAGCCGCGCTTCGGCTAATTAGATTGATATCCATAATCATTTTTTTATTTGCTCTTCCTCTGCTTG